TTAACTTCACTATAGTTAACATACCACTTTTATAATGTCCTTATATATCTGTGAAGTCAAGTCATTCTGTGTTAACTTATTCGGGTTAAAAGTCCTTGTGGTCATTCGAAGCAAAATAATTAACATAGTTGTGAAACTGTATAATTAATATGGATATCATATCGCGGTTCCACCCAGCAACAACATCTTTCCATTGCCGTTTTATGTACAGAAAAAAATCATAAATATTACAGTCATAGCATTCTGTCACGAACCACCAGTTATAAAAGTATTACTATTAATGTCACGTCTCCTTTGATATGGTACTAAAACATGAAAACAGATACATTCAACGAATTCACAAAAAAATAAAAATACAAGATGAAATGTAAGCCGCCTTGCATTCGAAATATTATGTAAACTTATTCAGCAAAACGAAAAGATGATGACGATATATTCCCGGTTGACCAATGGTGAACCATGCTGAAAGAAACGTTCTAGTTAATAATATATGTTACAACAGCTTGTGTCAGGCAGGAGCACTTTGTTTAAATGACTTCCACAAATATAATTATCAAAAAAAGTACAACTTAAAGTGACTTAAAAGTGTGGTCTCGTGGGGAAAAATCTTACAACTGATTTAATTCTGCCCGCTAGATAAAATTATAAAATACCAGTGAATAGGAGGGAAGAGGGGATTATTTAATGTAACCACATTTTCAGCGAAGTGCACGGGGTTTCTATTGATTGAACTAAATTTTCTGTTTTTACCTGTGATTTCATTTCGTACGGAAACTCTGTTGGATTAAACCAAGGACGCCAGAATTGGATTATTACAGTTTGCATGAAAATAAACCTAATTTACATGTTATGTTTTTCCTTTTGTGCTGGATATAAAATATGCTCTCTTGAGAAAAGTACATTCAAATAACATAGAAACAACGAAGATGCTATGTTCTAATATACCATAAAGACATATATATATATATATATATATGTGTTTTCATTCCAGCCTACTCGTATGTAATAAGCATAACCAAATTAATTCGTTGACTAAAGCCTTATTAGTATGAAAAACTGGTTGTAGGAGAATTCACTCCTGGTAACATGGCTCCCAGTACTATCATTCTCCATGCATTTCACTCCTTGCAAGTTCACTCCAGGAAATAACTTGTTAATGTCAAAATATGTTTTAGTATTCCATAACCTAATCTAAGTTCTTTTTACCAAGAATAACTCATAAAGTACACCATTTTTAATAATATTTAATGAATGTTACTTTTATTGTTTATTATTTGACATCACTAAATTATTACAGAGTGAATTTACAAGGAGTGAAATTACCGGTCACCAGAAAAACTGTATCAGTTGAATTAATCGCGAGGATTTATTCATCTATCTATCGCCCCCTAGTGGCGGCCTAAGAAAATTTAAAGCATGGGTAATAGCTTGCTAAATCAAAGAGCTATAGAAGAAACAGTACTTCATAATTTTTAATCTTAAATTTTAAGAGTGTTTTTTTAATCGTTGTTTTAATATGTGCAACTTGCGTGAAAAAAAGGATGGGTTGTTTGTAATTAAGCACAAAGCCACACAATGGGCTATCTGTGCCCTGTATCGAAACCCGGATTCTAGCATTGTAAGTCCGCAGACATACCGCTGTGCCACTGGGCGGGGGGGGGGGGGGGTTTGTTGTTGAAGACCAAACCAAGCAATGCTCCATATATGGATAAACAAAGTGACCACAAGGAAATACACACGGGAGAGATCACTACAGCTGTTTTGTTGTTCAGACTTTATGAGAACACGTTAAAGTCCACCAAAACTTCTTTACAACGACCTTAGTTTCATCAAGAGGGGTGGGGGACGGAGCCCTATCATTAGTTGAAATTTAAAAAAAAATGTATACCAAAGCCTTTTCGTGATTATTAAAAATAAATTAAAATACTTAAATTAATAGCTCTGGATAAATAAATCAGGTCACTGGTTGATTTAGTTCTAATGTTTGGTAAAACAGAGCACTCTGGTGACAAACATGAAAATGGAAATCGATGAAAAATTACAGAGGATTTACGGGCTAGACTGCAAAATAGTTTGTTTGTTTGTATTGAATTTCACGCAAAGCTACACCAGGGCTATCTGCGCTAGCCGTCCCTAATTTAGCAGTGTAACACTAGAGGGAAGGAAACTAGTCATCACCACCCACCGCCAACTCTGGGGCTACTCTTTTACTAACGAATAGTGGGATTGACCGTCATTTTATAACGCCGTCACGGCTTAAAGGGCGAGCATGTTTGGTGGGACGGGGATTCGAACCCGCGACCCTCAGCTTGTGAGTCAAGCGCCTTAACCAGCTAGTCGTGCCCTGTAAATGATTACTGAAGATTAATAACAATAATGACACAAATGTTTTTACATTAAATGTTAAAAACGAAAATTACATGCAAAGAAGTAGGTTAACGAAGTATCACAAATGTATTGAATTTGTTCCAGTTAACATAAATAACACTAGTTATTTTCTCATTTTATTTAAAAAAGTTTCGATTTAATTTATTTCGTGTCCACAATGTTTCAAAACCATGTTACTTCCCTTATGTAAGACTCGATAAGGGCTTGAGTGACCATCTGGACTTTTGATATGAGTAAATTACGTAAAATGATAAGTTAAAATCAAATAAAGTGAATGGCTTTCGCCGATTTCACAAATATAAGCAGCTTAACTTTAGCATATCTCGAACAACAGTTACTTGAAGTTAAAAAGGTCAGAAGGTGTGAGTCATGAATCATCTAGCTCAAGAACCGTATAAAGTTTAATGAATGTTTAATCTTTGTACATTAGCAACAAGTGTTAATAAAGAGCTCAGCCTTTAGCGTTAATATGCACAGAAAATACGTATCAGTACTAAATCCGTTAAACTTAAGCAACATGGCCGATGTGGTCAAACAACCAATAAGAGCATGATCATGAGTTCACGTCATGCGAGTATTAACACATTTTAAAACGTACGGTTTACTGCTTACAAGCACACGTCACAAAAACTAAATGTATTTTGGTGATTTCCGTTAGTGCTATCCCATATACTTTAATGCACAGATTAAAAACAGATTCGGTTACATGGAATCTGTTTTTTAGGGACTGTTGTTTGCCAGCTCGTTTCTATTTATTTTTGCGACATTAGTTCCAAGTCTCTTTAGAGAAAAGTTTATCCGACGCAGACACTTCGTTTCCTGTACCTCTAAGCCTCTTATTACATATTTCAATATTACTGTACAGCCACACACATCTCACATAAGAAGATTTTGAACTGTTAGAAACGTAAGAAGGTGTTACAAACTATGAATAACCCAAAACAGGGTTACGATCGAAACAGATCATAGGTTAAAAACAGGAACTAAGAAATCATTCAAAAATAATTACAACTCATCACAAAAAATATGATATTCATTTGCGACTTTTTACATTGTTGTTTTACGTGCTTATTTAAAAAAAACTTCAGCTTGTATACGCGTTCGTTTACGAGTTGGGCTTTATTAGGGATTAACATAATCCACTTTTACACAAAAAACAAGAGATATGGAAATGATTTACATTAATCTATTTATATTTACTGTTATGTCCCTTTAGGCCCATGAATTTCAGTGTTTTCTCTAAAAGTACAACAACTGTAAAACAAAGATAAAAAACAACTCTTATCATGGATAACAACCACAAAGTGAGTTTATTTGCTGTTATAATTTTTCTGTAGTAAATTAACTGAATTTTGAGTAAAATTTGAGTTTCACAACTTTTATTTTAAAGGTAAATGTTTTTCTAAACATAAAGACAAAAATAAATGATGTTTTAAATTTGAAAACCTAAATTGTAAGGGGAAATGGAAAGACTCTTTCTAATATATTCGATTTATACAAATACACTTAGGAAAAGTTTACTAAATGTGATATCAAAAAGAAAAATAATCAACAAACAATCCAACAGCTTTTATAAAACATCTCTGTTTCAGGAAGACCAGAGTTCTATAAGAAGTACATATAAAGGCAGTTATTTTCGTTAATCTATTTTATTTTTTGTTATTAAACAACCATAATTAAGTCTATGTTTCTGTGCATGAAAAATAAATATATTTGTATGAAAGGAGTTAAACAGAAATATGTAACAAAGAAATTTTACTTCAAGACATCAAGATGATGAATGAGTGATTTTTATAACTGGATTTTTCCAGATTGGATAAGCACAAAACTTGAAATATTTTAAATTTCGAACTGTATACCACAACCGCCCGTGTATCTTCTTTTGAGTTTAATGTTAACTAGTTATATATATATATATATATATATTAGTTGTGTGTGTGTGTTTATATAACTAATAACCTGAGAAGGCATTTGTGTACAAATACGATTTATAAAATGACATTGAATTATTGAAAGGAACAGATAAAGTAATAAAAAAAAACGCATAAGAACAGTTTGAAAAAAAGCTACATATTTACAGTAAGGGAACGTTTACAAATCACAACAGGGGTTGAGGAGAAATGAAGAGTGTGTAAAGAGGCGTGAGGCCTACCTTGCCACCCAACAAACTCCCCACCTTCACCTATAAACAACAAAAATACGGATTAATTAAATTATCTTTGAATAAAAACAAAGTCAGTAAAAGGAAAATGGGATAGCAAACAGTAATTTTTTAAAGTTAATCTTTAAAGGTCATTTCAAGGTCATTATCTGGATGTTTTAAGATGTAAAATATATGTGCAACAAAAGAAGAAGAAAACATTTTACATCATCCAGAGAATCAAAATATTTCTTGGTTTGTTTAGAGTTTAAAGTATTATTTTGTAAGCGTGAATAACTTTGTAAACAGTTCCTAAATAAGATGAAAATCAATATTTAAACAGATATGAGAGACAAAGTCAGAACACGAATTATGTTACAGAATTTGAACAGCAGAAAACCAAACAGTGCCAAAGTACACCAGTCTCTGAAAGTGTCTTATAAATAATCCCTTGGAAAACAACAACACGATCTTTACTTTGATAAACTATATTGTATGACGCTACTTTACGCATTTTGAAAACTTGACTATTCTTATTTTATCTTAAAAATTCAATACAAACAATTCGTTATCCCTAACTACAAGTTCATATTAAGAAGCAAAAAAAAAATAAAAATAAAAAAAGGGAAGGGGGGATTGAAGGATTATCAATAGTTTTATTTCTGAATGAAATATATATATATATATATATATATATATATATATATATA